GTCGGACGGGGAAGAAAGAGTAACTAGAAGTCCAAGGGTTCGCTTACTTCCCTTTTGGCGTAGCCATTCTGCGTGGAGCGATTGATCAGGCTTGCTGAGGATCGACTGTGCCAGCTTCGCTGGCGTGATTTTTCCGGAGAACGACCCCCAGATTATCAGCCTGTTTTCCCTTAGGCGTCTGTCCACTAGCGACGCTGTGGCGGAAAAAAATTGACCGCCCGAACCACGCCAACTCTGCTGCTTCACCAGATGCGTTGTTCTCGCGCCTTGTTTCCTGCAATTTACGGTTTCTTTGTGCTGTGTCAAGCAAGATTCCCCTGTTTTTGCCACCTTTAAGTTCTAACGACCTGATCTTACTTGGGCCTGTTATTTTCCCTGAGGGAAAAACAGTAGTATCCGCGGTTTTCTTGCTCCATGCCCGTTTAGGAGTAACCGCGTCTACATCAGATGATGCCCACTGCATTTAACATCATCTCCTTTCGGGGGCAACCCTTTTACCCACAAATCCGGCCTGATATGCTTTATTTTGATCATGCCTGGCGGTACGCCACCCACCGGTTTAGAATGAAGATTATTATTATTTTCTCGGGTTCACCCTGGCCAGGCAAACCTCCGAGCCTGTGTGCTTTAGTTTGAAAATGATGTAGCCGCTTCCCGAGGCCTACAGTCAACTGTCTGTAGTCTAACCCGTCGTGTAACTGTGATCCTTCCTATCTGGAAAAGGCTTTGATTCTTGATGACACGATTGCCTCTGAGATTTGCCAACTTTTAAAGTGACTCGCATACAATGCTCGTGATCGTATCCGAGGGTCAAAACCATTCTTGTGCTGCCCAATCTCAATGCAATGCAAGGATGAAAACGTTGTCGTTCTTCTGCTGGCATCCAGGGCTCTTCCATACTTTACTCGAAAAATCTAAACCATAAAGGCCAACGCTGCTTCTACTCGACCACAAAGGCAACTTTCCAAAAGCTCCCTTTTACCCACAAATCCGGCCTGATATGCTTTATTTTGATCATGCCTGGCGGTACGCCACCCACCCACCGGTAATGAAGATTATTATTATTTTCTCGGGTTCACCCTGGCCAGGCAAACCTCCGAGCCTGTGTGCTTTAGTTTGAAAATGATGTAGCCGCTTCCCGAGGCCTACAGTCAACTGTCTGTAGTCTAACCCGTCGTGTAACTGTGATCCTTCCTATCTGGAAAAGGCTTTGATTCTTGATGACACGATTGCCTCTGAGATTTGCCAACTTTTAAAGTGACTCGCATACAATGCTCGTGATCGTATCCGAGGGTCAAAACCATTCTTGTGCTGCCCAATCTCAATGCAATGCAAGGATGAAAACGTTGTCGTTCTTCTGCTGGCATCCAGGGCTCTTCCATACTTTACTCGAAAAATCTAAACCATAAAGGCCAACGCTGCTTCTACTCGACCGCAAAGGCAACTTTCCAAAAGTTCACCATCCAACTCCCTAAAATCGACCCATGAAAGCTACCAGGAAGATCCCTTTCCCCCCACCCTTCTGCAGCAATACATACTCTCGGGGCCACTCAATTGGAGGTTCTACATTTGACCAAATCCTAGGCAAAATACGAAAGATATATCGCTGTTGACGCATGCGCGCATAGTAGCCGAGTAACCTGTGTTTCACATCATAGCATTCTGAATCTGCTAATCGACCCGGACTCTCATGCATTCGCGGGAAGTTAAGTCGGATCCCCAACCGTCCCCGACAACACAAAGCCGGTTTCATGCCAGCCTAGCCTTCAACCGTTGCTAACTAAAGCTGGATCGGACGCCAAATCCCGAAATTATCAATGCTCCCTCGCCACATTGTGACGCTGGCTCATACCACTGCGTCACAGATCCTGCTTGTCGGATCCAGGGCCCGAACGTCCCATTCAGGACCGTAAGTCTTCCATTTCTATTTTTGAGAGCCAAACTATGATATACCTGACCTCCGTCACGCAGACTAGATTGAGTGCTGAATTGGCAAATTCGGTATCTCACCAACCTTAATATGAGAGACGAGTTGGCGCTGACACCATGCAGTCTTCCTCCAGACACAGCGACCAAATGATGCCTCGTGTCCTCCAACCAAAGTGCTTCCTCAGGCCCAAAAACCTGCTGTAAAAGCCCCACACTTCCTCACACGAACTTTTCGAGTTCTTGCACGTCGCCCTTCGTTTGTGGACCCGACCGAAACCCAAAATTTACCTGCGGACAAACAAAATATGCAATGCAGTTCCATGGCAAGATCTTCAACTTATAACTAGCATTACCAAATCTTGGTCCCTCTCAAGTTCCTCCTCCTGAACACCTTTGCATTTTTACCTGGACCCCTTTCCTCAACCACCTACTCCATCCAGACCTCCGCCCACTACACAGATGCCACATGAATCTCCATTTCTAAGACCTCTAACCGTATCTCGTCTTACCTTTCCGAAGCCCTCCCCAATACAAACAACGCAGAAAATTCCCGTTCATTCATAATAGAGTCCAGTCCTTACCTCGGAGAGAACGACTACATCACTAGCCTCCTCACCGCACCCAGTTTCGTCCATTTATCTTGCATCTCTTACTGTGAGCCCCTCTATCATTCCCACACACTCCGCGCCGAATGATTCGGTGCTGAATGCACCAAATAAAATCGTTTCGTCCTCTTAATAACCCCGTCAGATCCTCTCATTTCGTTCTACTTAAAAACTGCACCAACTCATCCATTGGACGTGACCTCAGTCCTGCTATTTCTGTTCAGCTGTCACATACTCAGTTCGATAGCACACTTCCAACCATTCCATTCCCCATCTGGACCGTGCCCTCCCGCCCACTCCATCCATTAACTGCAAAATCTGCAAGACAACTCCGTCCCCCGGACAATTTATTGCACACCCAATGAATTTTCACTCAAATCTGACCAGCCTTATTTTCTGCAGCAATTTCGGCTTGCCCCTTCCTCGAGTTCAAATCCGCATAGGGTGTTCGGCTGGCCCTATGCTATGGCAACATGTCCCCATCCAACCTTGCACCTAACTCTCCTGGAACATTGCAACCAGTGAGTCTAATTTGTTTCAGATTACACCATACTTTTGAGACAAAACTTGTCATGTTCCCCCAAGTCGGATTATCCCATCTCCATCTCCACTTTTGCTCGTTATGACTCCGACCATTTACCCAAACGCTTTAGGCCAGCAATAGTTTTTCAGTTTTAGTTCGTGTCAGCAGGCTGTCTTCGAACTGGTCGGACCTCATTCCCATCGTTATTCACAAGCCGAGAAAGAAACCCACTATTACTATTTCATCGAATACCTCCGACCGTTTATGACATTGTCCTTTTTTGCGCTATCACCACTACCTGCAGATCCCCCAGTCATGCTTCATTCTGACTAAACGCCCATCTCCACTTTGCTCGTTATGACTCCGACCATTTACCCAAACGCTTTAGGCCAGCAATAGTTTTTCAGTTTTAGTTCGTGTCAGCAGGCTGTCTTCGAACTGGTCGGACCTCATTCCCATCGTTATTCACAAGCCGAGAAAGAAACCCACTATTACTATTTCATCGAATACCTCCGACCGTTTATGACATTGTCCTTTTTTGCGCTATCACCACTACCTGCAGATCCCCCAGTCATGCTTCATTCTGACTAAACGCATGATCATGCAAGATAGTGTGCCACCCAAAAGTTGGGAATAAACATTATTATTATTGTGGTACCATTCGCTGATGCATTCAGCACAGCCGTTTAAACGATTATTGAACCCGTCCTGTGACTCTTTTCTAATACCCCCCTGCGCTGTCTGCAACGCCACCCGAACGATTTCTCTGTATGTATTATGGTAATAGTAATAAGTTCATTTCCGAACTTGTGGGGGACGTGCCAAACGGGACACGGTCGACTCATTACAACTTGAACACTGTGGTCGACGGCACAGCGGGGAAGAGATAAAACTGACTGTACACCTTCATCTGCGTGACAAGTCACATAGTGGTGAGAATCAAAAACTAGAACAATGGGGAATGAGGTACAGCTAGTTTAGCGATGAAGCTGGTTGACCTCAACTGAATCTATGAAATCGTAACTGACCATGAGCGACCTTGTGCGGTTGAGTAAGTGGACAGGGTCACAAAAAGCAAAATGTAGGTGGAGGTGTAATAGTTCAGGGTGGAGACAAACGGCAAGTTATGGCTAAAAGTAAAAATAGGTGAACTCACTAATGTCGTTGTTGCGTAGAAGTCAGATTTGGCGGGCAATTTTTGAGGAAATAGTGCTAATGAATGAAGCCGTACAAACATTGCTAATTAAATCTTTGAACATGTAAAAGGAGCAAACTGAAACAGCAGCGGAAAACCAGGTCGAGTAAATCCGAACGGAAGCTCCACAGGGTTGGAACGAACTCGTCCGGGAGGCGGTTTGGGCTGGGTGAAAAAATTGTTCGTATTTGAAAATACAAGCTCAAGTAAGTGAGAAGTGATGGTCAAGGGAAGGAAAAAATAGTTGCGGGAATGACATCAGACAGGTTGTGTCAGCGCCGTGTCCACATTGCATTGACATATTTGGGCTTCTGGACGTAACGGACGTCAATGTTGCGGCTATCTGACAGCAGATGCGCGTTTCTGTGACAGCTGGATTGTCTTGGATGAGAGGAGTGACACAAGTAGAGCCAGGTCGATGTAGATTCGCTGATGATTTTGATTCATTTGGAGGACAATGTGGGTGTGAACCGGGGACTAGCCAGATTGAATGAGTGACGGTCTTATGAGGCGTTTGCAGCTAACGTATTCCGATAGTTTGAACATGAGTTTGGAAATACAGTTGGGTGCTAAAATATTAAAACGAAAGAAGAGTTGGATGAGGCACAGAACCTTATGACAGACATGGAAAAAAGCCTCAGAATATTCTGAACTCGTTAACGGCTTTCAAAGTGTTAGGTGCTTTAAATGTGGAAGCGCTCCTTCTTAGCTATAGCTGTACGCAGAAAGTAACAAAAGTCAGTTTACTCACACACGTGTCGGAGCTGAAAATCGGTGTGCAGAAAGAAGCTCCATTTGGTGAGTGCGCTTAGTTGGTAGAATACCGTTAAGGGTGACGAAGCAGTCGATTTTATTAAGGCGAATGTATCATCAGTCTAGCTGTGACCCTGCTGCATCCGAGACTGCACAACAGTAAGTCTGAAAACGTTTACTGAAGATACAAACGGCATTAAATTGAATATATATCTCATTTCATATCCATCGTTGAGTAAAGGTGGTTTACGGTGGTTCATGATGACGCAGAGCCGTCACTGGACGTTGGAATGGGCCAACACACATACGGGCCTGTCTATTACAAGCAGTCATGATAAGCAAAAAGGCACACAGTTATCATGGTGAAGAGCAATGGTTGGCCTCGTTTTCCCGCAATTTACTTATGCTTTATGAAACAATCGAGCTGCCTGACGTAGCGCTCACTAATGCAAAAGCTCCTTTAGCAGGATGGCGGGAATTCATACATTGATACCTGAAAACGCTGCACTATTTACTGACTGGCTGCGCGTAACGTGGGACGGGGATCACTCGTAGAAGCGCGCGAAACTGGTTTCAATTCACTTCTGGTGATCATGTAGCGGACTAGGACCTTACCAGCGTGTTCGGATAAATTAACAAGCAAAGTAACCAATACAACATCACAAAATCACAATAGGAAAAGAATGAGTGGTTAAATGGGGACTCACGAATGTGTAGATCCAATAGTCCACTACACCGATCCAAATGCAGTAACCGGCTGTGGAAGGAAATATTCACTCGTCGAAATTCCTACCGATGGTTCACGCATGAGTGAATTATTCCAAGATAGGAAAATTATCCGCGGCGAAAAAATGTCACGAGGATTTATTGTGACGTTTAACATTTGGCACAAACACAAAGATCTAGTCACACTGGTTCAGCAGCGTAAATACACTCGTTCAGCAAGAAGTCAGCAGGTCGCATCGGAAAATTGTGTATTCGTAACATTAAAACAAACGTCATGGTACAATGTGAACGACAATTACAAAGTGTAGTTCAAGTTCAGGAAGAATGGTAAATGTGACAACGGATTACAGACACTACAATCATCAATCAACAATCGGTTGGATGCTCGCCAGCCAATCAGAGAGCGATCGCTCAGGCATGCCATAGACTAGGCGCAAACCAATAGGATGACGCGTGTTGGATGACCTTGGAGGAAGGTCATAGCACGCGGAAACACAACGCAAGGAGCTTCTAATCGTCCCTCCGTCCATGTCTGGGCGTCGTGGCAACATTCCAGCCCACTGAGAATAGCGATTCCTGCGATCGAAATTACTATCGTGCCATATCGGCCGTTGCGTGGTATAATCAGCCAGGTTACATTACTTACTACACATGAAGGGACGGTTAAGCGACTACAGACAATGCTGACACCTACTTTCATTCGCTGTCACAGTTTTTCTCTCCAACTTCACCAATACTTCTCCGTCTAATACCACCAGGTATAACTGACGACCCCGTTCCTGTTGCAATACGTACAGAAGCAAAGCAGCCAGCACCCTATACAGGCTGTAGCCTGATATATCAGGCTGTGTACACACATGTATCACTTAAGGGACGTGTACACGTCCCGTAAGATTCAGGAATGTTCCACCTTGATGCATTAAGCGCCCCAAATTGGTGACCGCAAATAGAATCTTGCAGATTTGTGTATTTATTCAACTGTCACACTACAGTCAGAACTAATACAACTTCCAAGGTACGCAAAATGCTCTACAAATTGGAGTACCTCTCTCTTTCAATTATAAGTGGCATTTTTGGTGACTGCACCTCCAGGAGCATGACCTTATACTTTGTGGGTGCAAAGTGCTTACTAAATTCGGGTTGACTCCGGACCAAAAATCCCTTCCAAGACAACAACGATATCGTCTACATATTCCAGATTGACAAGGTTTTCGTAACAGGCTATTTGAGCACCGGCGTTTGGAAAAGCTCATTATCTCGCGGTCACGAGATTACGAGAATGAACCACTCCCCACCCATTGCACCAATGCAATCAGCCCATCTGCCGGTCCCCTAGCCACTGTTCCGGGTCAAAGCATTCGCCCAGAAACATAACCCAAAATAATCACCTGCTAACCTCAAATGATCTGATCGACGTTTCAGCCTTCAGTGTCCGTATTCTATATCAAATTGGGCGACAGGCATCTCATGTTGAAACTTTGCTTCCCCTCTCTGTCGATATGTCTCCGAAACACATGTGCAAGACCCCACTTCGGTCGTGCACCTCAAGCCGGTTAGAACGAAGTCAGCTGTCCCATATTTCACTCTTGGGGTATCCGGTTATCCTGACGCAATGACTCGTGTTATCTACCGCATAGAAGTTGAGCTCAGCCCCTAGGCTGAAAGCGCCTTACTGGACTGGATCCCAGTAGACAGTCTTCTTTGTGCTGTGCGCTTATGTGATTCAATTAAGATCAATGCAGTTCGATGTGATAAATTGGTTATATTTGTCGTATCGGTATACGCTCCAACAGACTGCAGCTCTGAGACCGAGAGGGACGGGTTTTATCAAGATCTGTCGCGACTGCTGCGGTCAACAAAGGTGATGGATATAGCCATCCTGCTTAAGTCGGACGAAGAAGCACAGTTAGGTGCCAGTTTTGGAGTCTATGCTGAGCGTATGGACAATGAGGAACGACTTCCTCAGTTGTGCGCAGATCGTCATCTGTTCCTGGCCAGTACGAACTACCAGCACAAACGCTCACGTTGAGTTATCTGGCGGCCACCTACCACAGGACAGCCATGGACTTAATTGGACTTAATGTAAGATTAGATAATCGTTCAGCTGTAACACCCTTACGGTGTCCAGCTATCAATTAAAGAATGTCTTTCCTTCTGGTGTACGCAGCTTGATTCTGATCATGCCATTGTGCGGGCCCGGTTATCACTTCGCTTTTCGTCAGCATTACGCGTGCCAAAGGAGAGCAACTCCGTTAATCAACTTCGACAATTTTCAGTAGCTCAACAGTGTCGAAGTGATCTGATTAGGAAGCTACTAGGAACTCAGAGCGAACAGAATGAGGAGGATCGCTTGGATGTTGAATGGAGGCGAGTTGAAGAAGCTATGCTGTCGGATTCGCTATCGGACTCGACTAAATGAACACTAGATATCTTCTAGGTCAGGAGATCTTATTGCTGCCAGAAGGGCCATACCACCAACTAGCGACTGCGATGGCGCACGCAGATCCCTCAAACACCAGATAATCAGGGACTTGAATGACAGAATGCTGGTGGATTTCGAAGGCCCGGGAGATGGAGATTTTTTTCGCTGCAGGCACCAGTTGCACCCGGTTTAAACTGATCCAATCAACCGGTCAAAGAAAGGTGTCAGTGAAACGAAATGTCAAAAAAGACGGAACGGCTGTTCAGTCCCTCAATTGTCGTCTTGAGCGATGGGCTGAACACTTCGAAGAACACTTCACCTGGCCTCCAACACCGATGCCAACGATACCATCGATACCGTCACGAAGAGACTGAACCTTACCATGGTGTGACGGTCTGTGCACCCAATCGACCCATTGAGCTATACTGGAGGGTGTCCCCGCAACATTCACGGGGTCTCTCATACCAGGTTGGTCAATGGCTAGAGGTTTGACGAACACAGTTTCCTGGTCCTACAGGCTGATGGTTGGAAAATGTGGCGAGTTGCTCCGTAAAATGGTGTTGCATTTGCATTTCCCGCCAAACACCGCTGTCTTGCGGTTAGGCTTTTGAACCAAAGGCTTTGGATGAGGACCCTAATCGTCCTCCTGTCTAGGTGTGGGCGCCCTGGTAGTATCCCAGCCCACGTACAACTATGAATTGCACATACACAAATAAACTCATGCCACATCGGCCGTCGCGTGGTGCCATCAGCCGGGTCGCCCTACTTGCTGCATACAGCAGGGCGGGTAAGCGAAAACAGGCTACTGCTGACGTCTCCCTTCTTTCTCCTTCACATACCTTCTATTCCTCCTCTCCCCACCTCATTAATAACTCTCTCTTTGTAGGCCCAGCACTTAGGACTGATGACTCCGTTCGTCATGCATCGGTTTGGCGTGCAGCATCTGCTCGTCACATGGTGCCGACATCTGCAGGAATCTCCAAATCAGTCCTCAAGCCTCGACACCCACTCTATCTGGCCGCGTTCAATGTCCGCACTCTAAAGCAAGCAGGACAACAAGCTGCTCTTGCACTCACACTGGACTCGCTTGGCATTGACGTGTGCTGTGTCTCAGAAACGAGAATTCAAGATGCAAGCACAGTGATTGAGTTAACTGCCCCGTCAGTCTCCACTCGCTTCCGGCTGCGCACCTCTGGTGATCCAGAGGCTGCTGCGGTGAGATGTGCAGGGGTTGGTATTGTGCTAAGTCATCGGGCGGAAGTATCCTTACTTGACTGGACACCTGTTGATAGTCGCCTCTGTGCGGTTCGCCTGGTAACGTCTGTGAAGGAGTCTCACAAGCGGCAAGTTGATAGATGTCTGTTTATCGTGTCTGCCTATGCCCCAACTGACTGTAGCTCTGACGCCGTCAAAGACAGGTTTTACGACGCCCTGAATGCCCTGCTGCGGCGAGCGGAAAGCTCAGACATTGTGGTGGTTGCCGGAGATATGAATGCGCAAGTTGGCAGGCTCAGTGCATCTGAGACTCAATTGGGAGGTCGACATGGACTGGACTCGATACGTACGGACAATGGGGAACGATTGCTTCAGCTGTGTGCTGATCGCAGGCTGTTTTTATGCAGTACTAACTTCCGAAATAGCCGAAGTCGTCTGGCCACTTGGTGTCCTCCTACAACAGGCCGGCCACAAACTCAAATCGACCACGTTGCCATCAGTTACCGATGGCGCGGGTCCATAACTGACTGCCGGTCGTTTTGGAACACATTTGTGGACTCTGACCACGCGCCCGTCCGGAGTCGCTTCTCCCTACGTTTCCCGGGGTCGCGTAAGGTGCGGACAAATCGCATGGCAACTGAAAGACTGGCAGATCTGGACGTTGGACGAACTTACGAGAATCATCTCCTAGAGTCTCTTCCAAATGCTCCACCATCAGATGTGAGCTCACACCGGGACGAGATTGTCACAGATTGTCATAGTGCTGGGAATTTCGCCTGTGGCACTGCATCACAGGTTCACTCAAGTACTGGATATCAGACCAAACGGTGGTATTGCTTAAATCTCGAAGGAATATCCCAGTCGACCCGCAAGATAACTTGATGCGACGAATTATTTTACGTTAAGTGAAGGCGGGCGTGTAAACCGACTGCTAAGTGTGGTGGACACAGAGCGAAGGAAATGGAAGAGGCCCAGAAAGCCGGTAATGCCCGGAGATTATTCCAGTTGATTTCTGCGACGGGGCCCAGGAAACTACCTTTGAGTGAAACCATCAAGGATCGGGAGGGAGTGGTCATCTTGAGTAAATAAAGACGCCTCGACCGTTGGGTAGAATAATTTGAGCAATGGTCATGGCCACCAGCTGGCACCCATCTCGAACCCACAGGACGGTGAATGTGGAACCGCCTACGGCCTCGGAGGTTTATGACTGCGTACGTTCTCGCAAGCAAAGCCGAGCGTCTAGTCCGGATGACTTCTACCAGCATTGTTCAAAGATGGCGGTGAATTCCCCAGTCAGTGCTTGTTTGATCTGTTTGCTTACATTCTGGAAAACGAGATTGTCCCAGACAATTTGGGGGGAGTCGGTGATAGTGCCCATTTTCGAAAAACGGGCGCGTAGTGAGTGTGGTAACCAGAGGGGGATCAACTTGGCACCGGTCGTAGCGAGGCTGTTAGCATCACTTGTGCTTCGTCGCCTTACGGTGGTTCGTGAGACTCTGACTCGAGAGCAGCAAGCGGGATTCCGGCCTGGTAGGGGTTGCGTTGACCAAATCTTCACACTTCGTCAGGTGCTAGAACAACGCCACACGAACAAGCGACCCACAATTCTAGTGTTCCTGGATTCCCAAGACGCTTTTGAATGGATTGACCGGTCTGTTCTGCTTGACACGCTTGCCTACCAAGGAATGCCCCGGAAGTTCGTGAACATAGTAAGCTCTTTGTATTCTCAGATTTCCGGACGTGTGAGCGTATACGGCGAGCTCTCCAAAAGCTCCTGTACACAAAGTAGTGTCCATCAGGGATGCCCACTCTCTCCATTATGTTTAACCTTGTGATCGATGAAGGTCTCCAAAACCCCGGTGTTCAAATAGCCTGTGACGAAAACCTTGTCGATCTCGAATATGCAGACGACATCGTTTTCATCTTAGAAGAGGAGGAGAAAGCGCAACTATTCTTGGACGAACTGATCAAAGTCGTCCTGTCCTTTGGTGTGCACTTTGCACTCACAAAATGTAAGGTCATGCTCCTGGACATGCAGTCACCGAACACGCCACTCACAATCCAGGGGGAAGCACTCGAAGTTGTGGGGCGTTTTGCGTATCTTGGAAGTTGTATTTGTTCTGATTGTAGTGTGACAGATGAGGTGAATGCACGAATCTGCAAGGTCCGGGTCGCGTTTGCTAATTTGAGACACCTATGGCGTCAGAGTGGTGTATCCCTGAATCTCAAGGGACGTGTGTATCAAGCTACAGTACGGGTTGTTTTGTTGTATGGCTGTGAGACTTGGCCTGTTCGAGCAGCGGAACTGAGACGTCTTCAGGTGTTCGACAATCGTTGTCTCAGAACCATAGCTCGTGTGGGTTGGTGTCGGCGAATCCGTAACGAGGCAGTTAGAAAGCGTGTTTTCGGTTGTGTAACGGGTACTTCCATTGAAGAATGTGTCCAGCACCAGAAGCTGCGTTGGTTGGGACATGTGTTACGTATGCCGAACCATCGTTTGCCGAAGAGAGTGCTGTTTTCCATGCCCAACTCAGAGTGGCGTAAACCGAGAGGTGGCCAACCCATGACCTGGCAGAGGAGTATGAAGGAGATCATGAAACGTTTGGGTGCTGTCGGTGCTACTCGCCTTCCAGGATGGGAATCGCGTGATCCTCACTGCACCTGGTTGGAGACGCTGCAAGATATGGCTTTTAACCGATGTCAGTGGCGATCATGTCAGGTTCTATCCAGATTGCCTGAATGACCGTTTGGAGGTGTAGGCACTTCGGAATGATTGTAGTAAGCCAGCACTAAACCCCTTCCCCGTCCACCTTTATTCTTTTCTTCACTATAAGACTTCCAATTAAATCATGGTTGTATGACAGTGAAGCATCGATGTTGAACACTGATGTCATGCTGTTGATGATGATGATGATGATGACCAACGATCGACGTGGTACATAAATTTGTCTATCTGGACAGCTTTCTAAGTTTCGGTGGACTGGCTGGGGGGGGGGTTTGGAAGGACAAGGCAGCTTTTACCAACCTCGGACACCTTCTGGCGTGGACGTGAAGTGCGTTTGTCTGTCAAGGGCGGAGGTTGTACCGCAGTAGTGCTATATCTGATCTATACGGACCAGAGAAGTGGACGTGCGAAAGATGTTGGTGTTTGACCATCGGCGTCTCCGAAGCATTGGCCAGGTCTGCTGCCAACATCGGATTAGTAATACCAAGGTACACCAGATGGTCTTACGAAAAAGGAGCTCTCCCGCGATAGGTGAATTACTCACGCTTCATAGGTTACGCTTGTTAGGATACGTAATCCGCATGCCAGAAGACTGTCTGCCTGGCAGTGCTCTTTTTGCCCAGCCCCGTGCTGTGTGGAAGCGACTGAGAGGTGGACAGTGTGTGACCTGGCAATAAAATATGAAAACACCAACCAGCAAGCTTCGTCGGGTCGAAACCTACTGCCTCTCTGGATGAGGACTTCATCGTTCAGCTGTCACACCCTTTCCGTGCCTAACTGTCATGCCACCCGAAGGTTGCACGGACCTTCCGGTCAGTAAATTCGCTCTCTAACCGTTTGGGCCGTCTCGCCACCAACTCAATTCATCAGTGGTTAGTAACTGGCAGAAATGGCCGGTTCGCGCAGTCAGCGGCGCTCATGCATCAAGTTATCGCCTTCAATTAATGGCTGCCCCAGTTCTGGAAATGACTGAACATGTCATCGTCTTCAAGGCTTGACTGTATCACACTTTCCGGTGATCAAAACTGTAGCAGGTGGAACCAATGTGCCTATGGTAAACAGTTTATAGCTGATAAACTGATTGATTGATTGATTGATCGATTAGCCGTGACGGAGGTGGTTCTGATGAAGTCAGTGCACTAATCTTGATAGTCCGAATCCTGCATCGCTTGTAGCGTCAAAAAGGCATACCGTTAGGTTTTAAGGGCCGTGTATACAAGGCCACAGTGATCGCTGTGTTGTAGTTTGCCACGGACGATCTGAGGTGTCTTCAGGTTTGGACCACGGACGTTTCAGAAGCATTGGTGATGTCGAATGGCGTTGGCCTATTCGTAACGGAATAGTTAGTAGACAGTTCAGTTCGGTTCAATCGATAAACTAATCTGAACTAGTAAGGTTTAACAAACCTATTTCAGTTGAACTTGTGACGGTTATAGAAGTAACCACGCGTAACCGCCGCCGTAAAGGCCCTACGTGTTCGAAACGCTTCAACCCACTGAACACTGCAGTGCTACCAGATATGACTTTCAAAGACCATCATTGAGACTAAATCAAATAAAACCCTAAATTACTGCTAAATATCGGGCCACTTTAATCTGTTTCGGCTTATTTATCGTCCAGGACAGTCTATCCGAAGTTGTCTTTATTGTGTCCAAGCCAATATTTTACACGAACCGTTGAACTGTGGCTCATTTCGGTGCATGGGTGCCGTGCAACTAAAAGAACGCACTGGAAGTGAGACACTGCCAGGTTACCCAGGTCCAGATGGGAGTAATCTAAAAATCAGATTTGGATTCAACCTTACAGTCAATGGCTCCGCGCCCTAACCATCCCATTCGAAGCATCTCCTAGGCAGTTTCCATTTTTGTCTGTAAAAACGCACTAACACTCCCAGACATTCTGGAACGTTAGCCCACAACGGTTCTAGAAGTGACCTTCCGTGACCACCACTGTACAGATACCGCTGAGTATTGGCTCAAAAATCCAGCGTGTTCCTTGAGTGAGTCTTACGGGTGATGCGGGTCGCACACCACCTTTCGTAAACACTGTGGGTTCCATCTCTTCGGCTTTACAATAATGAGCCACCAGTTGGACATATTCATGGCTTTAGATCTGCTCCATACTGTTCGCCCTCCGATCTTGTTCCTTTGTGTTTACTGCTTGCATGACGTCCAGCTGGCTACACATGTGACTCGGCGTTACGTATTGTGCGCGGCTCTTCCCCAGTGCAGTTCGATGTGGCAAGCAACCTGGAAGCGTATGCAGCCCACCTTGTCTTGTTGAACTGACCCCAACATACCCAAAAAGCGTCTTAATTTTGACGTACGAATTGTGATCTTCCATGTAAGTGGTGGGATTGGCTATCCAACACCCATAACGGTGCGAGTTTCGTTGCTTCTGGTTTTAGGGCCAAGTCATTTTCTCCCTCAAATCGGAGACCTCCGAGTGGTGCCATTTGTTAAAGCAGTAATTTCGTATGTCACGATGTTCGGACACTTCTCAAAAGTTCAATATCTTTCTAAAGTCGACATTCAGTGGGAAATCATATGTGAAAAGAATCAGTCTATATGAGAAGTGATTCACCAGTCACCCCTTTCTTTTTCAAGCTCAATTTTTATTTTGTCCGACACGCCGTTGAGTGTTTTGCAACGGTCTATTGTCACAGACAGTGTGATCACGTTTGTCTACTGTCTGACGGAATTCCAAGTCTAGGCGGTCGTGCAGCCTCAAGTGAGGGATCTGCCAATAATATATCCACTAACACTTCTGAATTCCCACGTCAGCTACCACCCTCACTGCGTAGCTACCCACCTCTATCTCCCCAGTTAGCTCGTAGCTACAACCGCTGTACAACATGTACGCGTTTTTTACAGCTCAAGCTGATGATGATGGTTCAGGAAACAGCTGACATTCACTTGAGTCTCTCAATAACACCTACTCTATCTGCAAATTAGTGCTTATTGTCACCAGGAGGTTAGTTCTGCTATTCATTGATCAGTCTGGTTTAAGGGACTGTTGGCTGCATGTGGCCTTCTGACACAATTCATTAGGTTTCGTAATTCATGTTCAGAATGAAGGTTGGAAGTCTATGCAATGCAGATCACACACATACAACGCACGGTTCTCAAGTGTTTCTGGGACTTATATTTATGCTTGCTTTTGCAGCACGTGCACTGGAGCTGACGCTTGTTTCATGTGTTTCGGTCAGTATGCCTTGTTGCCTGACGGACTCGTGCCCTATTCCCTCCAAGTTGCCGGTCACACGAACTCCGCTAGATCAGGCGCCGCCCGTGAGTTCTAGACCCAGTTTTTTGAAGTACTCTTCGATTTCATTCCTTGGTCAGTAAACTAAACCTACACTTTTTAAAATGACTTTGTCACTGTTTTGTATGGTTGATATCGAACGTTCCTCAATCCTTCCGGCATCATGCACTTCTTCCATCTACCATAAAAGAAAAATGAGGTAATCGTTTAGCTATAACAACATTTCGGCGCCTAGCTGTCATGCCAACGTAAGGAGACACGAGGACTGGGATGCTGGCAAGTCGGGAAACCCAGACAGAAACAGTGGATATGCTGAGGTTGGGCTCGAACCATGGACATTCCGATCCGTAAACTGGTGCCTTAACCACTGAGTTATCTCTAACTCTACCATAAAAACCAGCCTTCCCAAGTGTTTTGCTGAGCTGAACAGTGTCCCAAATAACTAAAACCTGTAGAAGTATGCTTCCATTTTATGTTTTATTGATGCTTTATGAGTGCGTCTCAGAAGGAGGGCGATACTCTGTTATTTTCAAATTGTCAGTTGCTGGTAAGCCTGTTTTAGTTTTTCTGCTGAGTTCGGAAGTCGCGAACAGTCACGACATAACGCATGTCATTCTCATCTTGAATTCTTTTCTCCACCTCACTCAGTAACCGATTTCATGAACTTGGCTCGCAAAGGTACAAGGGTCACTCATGAACTTGGCTCGCAAAGGTACAAGGGGACGAGTTTGAACAATGCGTATATGACTATCGCAGTTACATTGTGGTGATATAATATGGAGGACTGGAATCCTCGATTTGATCATCGAAAACTCGCGTTGTCAAAATGCCAGACGACAAATGACTAAAACTACTGAGTCGCTGTTGAAGTGTTGTAGTAACTAGGACCACTATACTGTAATGGTCACGCTGATATTAACTTACGGTTTCATACGCTGCTGGTGGCGGGTATCTCATGATGGGTGTTCTTTTTAATAATATGAGTTAGTCTATTTTCTCAGACCTTTCGATCTCGCTTAATATCAACCTCATCTTCTGAACTTTTTGGCAAACAGGACGACACCGGATCCATTGTTTATTTGAACCAAGATCAGATCTTTACTCGCTCTCAGTTGCTTCAGTGCAAACAGATGGTGGGCAATAGGCTCATCGCTGTATGCGTATCGTACAGCTATACTGATTGTCGATTCAAACCAGTTTTGAGCATGGTCGTACGTTAGTTTCAGTTGCAATAATTGGCAGAGGATTTATCGATTTTTATCATTTCGTTAGCACCCCCATGTTAAACTATACAGCAAGCCTTTTACCAGGAATTTTTCCTCTCAGTTTACTTAATACCGTAATCTGTAACACGTGTCTCATGAAACGGTAGAATTAATCGAGAGTATTGTGCAAAATTGTGTTGTTGTGTTCCAACATCAAGCTTTTTCTATGTAGAACAAAGGTTCCATGACAAATATGATAAACCACAACTTATTGCCACCGGTAATCTTGACCTCGTAAGTGTTTTTGGGTCCAGTACCAACATAGAATGCACAGCGCCGCAATCATTACATCGACATCACGCACCGTATTCATATTTTGACTTTTTAACTGCCCAGAATTTCACTTATATGGGTTGAAACGCCTGTTGCGGAGTAGGGACACATTCTGATCTAACATCCGCCATCTATGCTACTAGTTTGTGTACTGAATGAACAACATAACATAAACAAAAAAAACAACGGAGATGTTTGTCGTATGTTTCGAACATACGGTTAGTAGTTGTGTCGTCAAATCCGGGGCATCTAATTACTTCCGAACCCCCGAACCAGAACAACTGGTATCGGTTCTCTCATAATTTGATGGATCAACATCACACTTCTTCTTTCCCACCAGAGGTACTTCAGTAATTCTGTTCTACTCTTAGAACTTCTCAAGATACCCGTCTCATGATTATCTACCGTAAGCTTTAGATTGGTTCGTATTCGAATGGAGTGTTGGCTAACCTGGCAACTCAATATATTGATTGCGTTGCATTATTAGTAAGTGATTACATGAATGTCTTCTCATGGGTTGTAGAACCTATTTTGCGATAAAATGAAAAGATAATGATCTTAACTTAGAATTGAGGTCTGTCATCGATATAGAATTCGGAATCAATTTGCAACCATGATAAAGGCCATTTCAAGGCCTCCGAGTGTTACTGCTTTATCATCGTCATCGTTCAGAACATCACTGCGAAAATACATTTATGGAGCACACGCTGCCTTTTAAGACCTATCCGAATGGAAATTACTCATTGAAAAACCTGTCGAGTTTAAAGGGTACAATTGCTTCTACTGTGTTTCCTGGCTTGCTCCCACTAGGCACTACTTGTGTTGCAAGAATGTCACAGATTTCTTCAGCTTTCGTCTCAGTATGTTGAGACCACTTGAGTTTGTTTTGCTATATATTCTAATCCTATTTGAATCACTTCCCTAGAGAAACGTACGCAGCCTGTGCGGCTGGACGTTGAATCAGTATGAAAAATTTATCAACTCAGCATGTGTCAGCACAATAGGTTCGAGGTGAGAGGTCTAAACAACTCATACATTTCACTCTTTCTACCTCAAGTTGCACCATGCCTTTAAGTAATTCAATGAGAAAAAACCAATAAATTATCAGGGATTGACCACGCTTCACATGCAACAAGGTGACAGCAACCTGTTCATTCCTATTCAACACAAAAGTAATCGCTTGGCTAATATTGAATAGATCTGGGACGTCTGAGACACGAATAAGACCGTGTACACAGATATTCAATGAAGTTTCTAATACTTTGTGACACCCTGTTCAGAGCGCTTCCGCATTACATTCAACTTAGATTCTCGCATAACCTTGTTTTTCAGTACTTCATCGCCCGGGAATTCCAATAGTCTACAAGTCATTGTGTCTAGATGGCCGTGGACAACGAGAAGTGGCGTTTTATCAAGAAGTCTACGACCCAGAAGCTCCTGAAACCTTACGACTATTGCGTGAATTTATCCCTCACTATATCGGCGTATTCCAGTGTCTCCATTTTCGTGGTGAGTATTGATTTTTCTGATTGCATGCTCGTCATCGTGATAGGTGACGTTCCTTCTCTCCCCTTCCATAACTTTCATGGCGTCTCACGTATTATTGCTTGCATTCACCTATCATCAATCTCACAGTCCAGTCTGATTGATTTGTTTCGCATTGCGACCGCATTACATAGAGCTGGGCTGTTTAATTACAAGTAGGGAGGATTTGGGTTCAAATCCGTACCAAAAACCTTCCTCTGCTCTCATTTTGGTTTCTACCTTCAGGTGTTCTTAAGATAAAGAAAACTTCGATGCTCTTCGTTCTTCAAGCCTTTTCTCCTGGGTGTCTAACCATAGATTCTGTCTTTTTGAATACAAACCTTCCGATCCTGTTCCCTTTTCACATTGTGTACATTATTTCTTGTTTTGACGGGCAAATAAGATTGACATTTCATTTCTGTTTTCAATTGAAATACTTTGGAATATCATAGCACGAGTGTCCCCCGAAACGGTCACATCGATTGTATGCATTTGCAAAAGAGAAGTGATCGTGGTCGCGATATTCATCCACTCCTTTTTCGCGTTACTTTGTACTTCTCAGTGGTTATGGACTGTGGAGCATGGATTTGACAGAACTCCCTTACTTTTCGGTTGGTCTGGCTTTTTCACCAATAAGTGACAATTCTGGTCCCGATAGTCGTTATTCATTGCTACCAAAAGAGACGTTACCGAACATCTTGTTGTCGCCTTGTATAACACTGACTGGGAACCAATAGTAAGAAAGCTCATCTCCAAACTTGTGACCGTTCCTACTCCTCGGGGCTAGCTGTGATAAACTTTCTCAAATTGTTTGCATAGTATTTTGATGCTATCCGTTACAAAGCTCTTTCGAGGGATTGTTTACCAAATCTTTCTGAAAGGATGACTTCCCAGTCGGTCCCAAACATTTTCCAGTTGATTGAAAACTCTTTCGAAGGACTTTTCATCCCCGTTCAGTTGATGTGTATAGCCCAACTGCAACTCTGCTCGCACTCATCTCAAAGATGTGTATAGCTGTGTATAGTTGATGGGTATAGCCCAGCTGTGAACTGCAACTCTGCTCGCACTCATCTCAAACAGGTCACCTTTACCTGTATCTTTTAGCTTTCAGTATACCATGTTGTTCCTGTTACATAAACTCAACGCCTGCTTCTTCCTTTTACTATCGTATCTGGAATCACCCAATCTTCAAACTGCCTCAAGTCAACATTCAATAAGTAGCTTAGCTGTTTCACTCTAGAACCATAACTCGCTATAACTCCCGTCCCGTCTAAGTTAGACTGTTTTGGCGTTACTCGATTGTAGCTCTGCGTACGGCATATCGGCCAAATGACAGTTCGGTTAGCTGTTGTAGCTCGTGAATAGCGAAACAAGCGCAGATGACCACCCAAAATAGTTGGTGTTTACAGCTACATGAGAATCGTTCGCACACAATAATACACCTGACTCACTCATCGGTTCAGTTTCAAAAAAGATATTGTGAGTTTCATTTCCATGACGTCTGACACTGTTGTGGCGGGAGTTGTGCGGTACACCTTCATTGACCATCAGGAGCATTGTTTCTAGATGGTGGCTGCCAACCGTTTGCATATCATGCATTACAAAACGCCCTTCCTAATTGAAGACTGGTATGAATTACAGTCGTCGCAGTCAGATGAACGCGTGGCCACTCAAAAACTTTGAAAGATGAAGACATTTTCAGACTTTACGGACAACCAACTTTAGTGACAGTTGCAAAACAACGAAACAAGGATGGATGGGCGTGATTTTCGGCAACGAATTGATCTTCGATCTTATTCTTATATGCCCCTGAAACTGCATAGCTTCTTGAAATAATTCCAAGCGTACGGTTTGGTAATCATCGGATCCTCTGTGTCCATTGTGAAACAATAGTCTGACTATTCACCGGTGATCGGGTTCCCAGCGAATTCGATTCTTGAGTTAAATCAGGAAAATTATTGGGGGTTAAGACATGTGCTTTTCAGCGCTCTAGAAAGATATACTCTTTATTAGCACACGACATTCTGCTCAGCCGGCTTAAGTAACCTGATTATTCAATATGGCAGCAGTCGAGAGGAGATGTGTTCCCAAACTCTTACACCATGACTTCTGTTCGTTTTTCTCCGAAATACAATTCACTGCAGCCGAAGGTTAGGCGGTAGTTGCAGTGTGCAATTGAGAGAACAGACAGAATTGTTTTTTTTTGGTACCAGAAATGATATATTTGTGTGCGTTTAAGCTTCACCTTCAGCTGCGGTGAATTATATTTGCGACGAACGAACAGAACTCTTGGTATTAGGTCTCAGGAACATCTCGCATCATGAATCCTGAATAAGATCACTAGGCGGATGGCTGGTCGATATTCACAATCATCGATTACCGGACATCCCCGGAACTGATCATTTCTTTGATACCAACTCGGTTTCCTCCATTATACTGCAGTCTGTTCGATTTTTAACGCAGAATTTCGTCGGATTTTTATTAAGCACTCGCTGCCGGCCAACACTTTGTAGTCGGAGGTATTTGGTGATCATATTGTGCCACTCTCGTTTATGTGAGTGAGTGACCTTCACTTAACATTGTACCACCCTTATGAGTAGTGTGCTTGACCGCATTTTTAGGTAGGTTTTTTTGGACTGTGTTACATGTGTTGCGACTGACGAAGCTGGGAAATGTTTGCGTCTCGTAATTTGCTTTTTTTCTGTGTTATTCAAACTGGATAAGAAGAACAATGTTTTAAACCAACCTATCATTTGGCATATACTTTTGTTGCAGTCATTCCCGCTCCACCAGAGGCACAAGCTAGGCGCGAATCATTCAGGAGCGAAAAACTCGAAAGCTTTTTCCGCAGAGTGGCACTGAATTCGAAAACGCTATCTAGCAAACGACTTTTTACCACTGAACAAAGTTAAGAATAGCTTACGGTTTCCCATGATCACGTGGGAAAGTACGGGTGCAATGTCTATTTTCACGTGCTAGCCTCACGTGTGCAAAGTACGTACGTAAAAAGATCACCCCATGGTACAACGGTTGGATTACTATTCACTGGAGGTGACCGCCTCAATTATTGTGCGGCTACACTGTAATTTCGTTACTCTGAAACTTGCGAAGATAAGCGTCCTTAGCACATACGGTAACCCCCTTTCAAAGAGAATGTAGGGGCGACAAGTATCCATATCAGAAGCGATGGTATCCCTGAGCTTCGAACGTTTTAACGGTCCGATATCGCATTTGAATCCAATCCTCTTCTAGTCAGGACATGACGTGGAGTGAAGAACTGTTAGAAACAATTGGTTTCTCGACTCATAGAGTGACATGTCCTTGGGTGTGTTGAAATTCATTATCTTGGTCTATCTTTAGCAAGTTCGAGAGGCGTATGTGCCATAACTACCTAATAGTCCAAGGCTACCGGAGGTAATTAAATAAGCTTTGTCCACTTATTAATCGAAAAGTTTCGACATGGACTTCGACTTACTCTCCCACATTTTCCACAAAATGAAGCGACTTTACTCGAAAGGGAGGTGGCAGTTGTCCATCACATCCGTGAGATGGGTCGGTATATGAGCGCATATATTGCAACCTCATTTGATTTCAATCGAAACGGATTGTTAATTCTGGCATTGCAACGATTTTGCGGAATCGCTCACCTGCCCGTCAAGCTGGTGTGAACATGAGGTTATACCGGACTCTGAATACATCTATCGATTATGATGCTGAATCTCGTTACGACGGATTCGCCGGTTATTTTTTAGAGTATTTTCATTCGGTGCTTAACAGTAGTGAGTCCGAACGTAAACTTCCACGACGTTATAGCGCATTTATCGAGATGAATCGATCTTCCTTGTTTATCGGCATATTTTTACCCCATGTGGCACGTGAATTGTAGTTTCTGTCCACTATCGGATGGCTATTACATTCTCCAGACATCTTAATCGTTTTCTTATTGTTTTGGTAGGTTTGTGTTTGGTTTGTTACAATCATGAATATCCCATTTACTAAACTTATGTGGCACTCTACGTGGCTGGGTCGTACGTGCATGCGTGGTAAATACTCCTCTCCTTGTCTTGGCATAATGTACTGTGGCTGTTGGTCGCTCGTTTCTTGCAACAAAGTTTGACAGATTCGCTTATTGATGAAATGCTTTACAAGATTCTTACTGCGCTGCACAACAACACATGGATGAAAATAAATTGTAAGTCTAAACTGCTTCGAGTCCGGTATGTTGTGTGAAATGCTACGTGATATCTTCGAAGTTTGGAGCTCTTTCATCGGATGCCGTGTCATGTGGCTCAGGTGGATGCAGGTAGGGATCCAGATTGCGGCTCGATTCACAGGAAGACTGTCCAGGTGATAGAGGCTATCCAACCCTATTCGTGATGCTTCTCAGTTCGTACGTGCCTACTAACGTCGAGCGTTGAAGGTCGTTAGCACGGTTATTCCTGAGATCGTCACATTGAGCTTTGTCGGCCGCCTTTGACCTCGCCACATTTCGATTACACTGGACATCTAAATGCACCGTCTTTAGTGAGTTAGAATGACAATAATGTCATTAGATCACTTTAGACATGTTTTCCACTCATTCCTTCTTATTCAGCTTGTAAAATAACTGCATCTCGCATTTTCTTTTACGTTGGATTCTGTTAATAGTTCCTTCCCAATTTTTCTGTGGTTTTCAGAGCTTTACCTTGGTTTGTCTGATTTGTTCGGCTCTCTCAACCGACCTAATATATGTGATTTCAAGCTGGGCACCGTAAGCTACGGTCCAAACGCAACACAGTCCAAAATTACACATGAAGAGTCGAAGTATATCTGGCGAAAAACGCTGGGCTTCCTGTTATGTGGAATGCAAGTAAGACCCCCCGGAAACACTTTTTATCCAGAAGGTGAATTCCAAACAATGGGAAAACAGGCAGAAAAGCCTATAACTTTTTCCGGAATCTCATCTGGATGCTACATAGTTCTTCGTCTTTAGAGCTTTTATGACCACTATTCTAACTGTTGACCTTTATATGGATCCCCAGACGGAATGGTTACACTTTTCGCAGCCCCGTCCGAGTCTGTTCAAGATCAAACTTCACAGGATGAATATACCGTAGAAATCGCTATTCATTCATTTATCCTGGATATCTCGGTTAGCCTTAAAATTGGGATTCTTGAATTTAACCAACCCGTGATGTGACTGATTATAATTTCAGTTTTCCGAATGGTACACATAACTCCAAGTCATACTGTATAATATGTGCTCTTAGGTGCGAAATGTTGCTAGTCTGAAGGTGACTCAGTGGAGGCGCTAAAATCCTTGTTAAGCCCAAAAGGATTCGCATCACACGTGACGCTCCGGGAGTGGTAGCGAGTGGACTTCGGGTCGTGAATGATATGGGTTCGATGCTGACTACACTTCGTCGCCTACATTAATTAGTACACTCGCCCTAGAAGTAACGCGTGGTTCGTTGCTGACGAATTTTGATATTCATTATTACGAACAGCGACACACTAGCAACAGTTACTGTGAGCCAGCTGCCACCCTTTGACCCATAATTTAGCTGAAAGGTGTGCGACTTTTTCTGTGATCATTGCTCGTTAGCCTGACCTGAAAGGCAGTAGTCAGTGAGTCGATGTAGCCGTCACTATTCAAATTTACTAGCTGAAGTGTCTGACCCAAGCGTTAATAGAACTCCTACAACCACGAAGATTTAAAGACGTCAGATAAATTACAATATGCATAGCAGATCCTTTTGCTGAATTCTTCCCTCTTCGATGGTATTGGGTAGTTTGCTGGCGGTCACAATCAAGGGCTGAGCATTCGGATTATGCCCGTTTTTTCGACATATTTTTTCTTTATCCTTCGTTTCAGAAAGCTAGCATCCTTTTTGCATGACTCTGGAAGTGCCCGAGGAAAACGCCTTGTTTTCACTTTCCTCTCTCAGTGGATAGCACGACTTTACCTCCGAGCAGCCTCACAGTACGATTTTGCACGACTTTCCGCTACTCCTTAAGCATCTATTAACAACCGGTCTTATTGAATGGGTTGGACCTAATAGAATGAAATGCTTAGTGTAACCCTTGGGGCCATGGTACTACGTAAGTTGGAATACCAAGTCAGACTAGCAGTTAATTGTGACTCACACGTGATGATGGTACAGGTTTGAGGGTGTAAAGTAAACAACGCCATGCGAATTTCACTCTGTTTCGTCCGTTATATATGCGAAAAACACCCAGGGTTTCCGACTTTGGAAGCCAAATCGTTTTCGATTTCTCATTCGCTCGTCTGTTGGTCACAACAAGTGTTTGTTCCTTAGGATGACTTATGTGTGTTGAAAATGTGTTGGTTGCTCCCAACCTAGTGGAATTCATGTTAGAATACCATACTGTTTGGCCATATCACTTGGTTTACGTTGTACCTTTGTCCTGTATTTTTTTGTTTTTAAACCAGATTCACGACTCTACCCAGGACACTTTTTTTCAACCCGATAAAAAGTTTTGCCGCAGCATTGCCGCGCACGAAATGCTTGACAAAGGTCAGTTAGCTTTCTGCGAAGTTTTCTACCATGTGCTCATTAGTTTACCATAAAAAACTAGGCAGTCCCGTTAAGGCTCACTACCTTTGTAACTGTGGATACGTTTTTTATCTGTTCAAGTTCAATTACATAAAATTTATTTGCGATGTAGCCACTTTTATCGTTGCTCAGAGGCTTCTGGAGTGATTCAGAAAATGGACTGGCAAGATAGTGGTATTTTGAACCTATAATCTAATTGGTGCTTGTAGCCAGTCACGCTTCTTTAAAGCGACTACTGTTTGCTAACTGAAGCATCTCCTCACTGCACTGGGTGCTGGGTCCATCCACATCCGTTTTCCCTATCACATGTAGGTGACTGCATGAATGTAAGCTCATAAGCCTCTTATGCAACTGTCTGTTATTACCATATGAAACATGTATAGACAGTTCAGCACGCTCCAATGGCACTTCTTCTCATTCTATCTGTTTGCATGCTTATACCATTATGATATTCGTAATGGAAACTTCTGTCTGTAGTTTGGTAAGCTATTGTACACCTTGAAGTCTTTTTTGGGGAAATAAATTAAGAGGACCACAGAATGCCTCCACAACCAGGCAGTTTTCCTGTGGCATGATGACCAATGAGAACAGTGTCTGCACTGAAATGGTTTTCACACATTTAGTTCCCTTCACAAATTCTAACGAAAGACAAAACAACGTCCGAGCCAAACTCAGTCATCTTGTTTCAGTCACCGATTACGTACATCTAAATTCAAGACTAAACAAATCAAACATGTAATAGGGTTTGGAATTCACAATCACACCAACTGGCCAAAATATGGCTGCACGACACAAAAATACAAACGTAGCCAACTCACAGGGAGAGAGAAAAATAGGGTCCAAATGAATAATTGGTCTCAGGGTAGGGCGAGACTAGTCACGACATCGAATTGTTTACACGTGTTTGGCTAAATACGCCTGATGGTTGCAAGTTACAACCCCGGAACTTTGTGTGTCAGAAGCTCTCCTTGAAAGTGTTTGCGCAGTTCGTCCCACTCACTCGCCGTGGCAAGTACGTTACAAGAGAAGGTGCCATGATTATCTGGCTTATCCGAGTTGGGTTCTGACAGAAGACGTCCGATTTATGCAGAATAACCAGCGAATAAGCATAATGAATACGCTATGCGATATCATTTATGTGGCCTTGGAAACGCCTGTCTTTTTCATCATCTCTGAACTCTCTTTTGTGAACGACAGAGAAGTTCCCTCTCCTAATGCGTTTACTGTACTTGATGCTGAATTTCGCAGGATACCCATTGCGCATCAATACACACCGGATACACCCAATGTCACCCAGCGATTTTTCGGGAGTAAATTTGACAGCCTATAGTAAACAGAGTGCGAACAAGCGTTCGTTTGTGGTGTATGGGATAGTAGCTTCCACAATTCATATGCTTGTGAAACATGGGGCGTATCAGTGTAAACCTCCTCGGTTCTCTTGTTGTATATGGAGTAACTCAAACCACTTTTCGATTTAGTGTTCGCTTGTTTGCGTGACGGCAGCTTCTCCGCCTCTTAAATCGATTCAACAACAACGAAAGCATCATCAGCATAACGATTACATAGTTCTGTTGCCTGAGTCGGTTCATAGACTTTAGTTTTGAATCATATCAGCAAGCACCGAATCTAGCGGGCTTCGCATCACCACACCGTCGATCTGTCGTAGACGGGAAATCACGCGCTTTATCGTACATTACGTTGACATCTTCAAATGATCCGCCAGCAAAGCCTACCTATAGACGGGAAATCACGCGCTTTATCGTGCATTACGTTGACATCTACTTCAAATGATCCGCCAGCAAAGCCTACCTCATTTGCGTTTTGGCGTACTATATCTAGCATTTGTATCTATCATACAATATCCCATCAACGGGGTACATTTGTAGAAAGCTAACGAACAGCGAAAGAAACCGATTGTTTTCACGTGACACGCAGGTTGCATATTTTCTCAGCAAAAGTATCCTTCACACAATATATCGCCAATTCGAATCCGATAAGTTTGACCAGTGCGATTATTCATCGAGCTAGTTTTTGATGTAATGCTCCAACCGTTGGAAAAATTGTCCTCGGTGGAACTTCGGTCTCATGGACCTTCGGATGGCTGGACCGTCGCCTCTGCGCAACCCTCTTATTTCCCATATCTTCGGTTAACGAAGCTGTAGCAGCTGGAACCTTTGTACTTCCGTACATGGTTTTGTAGCTGACTGACCGGATTGCTGTGTAGAGGAAGAAGCCTTCGAGGCTTATGTTGCGGTACAACGTGAATGTCAAGGGATCATACGATTACAGCCGTTTTACTTCGCATACTATTGTTCGATTTCTGCAGTCAATCTATGACCTGAGTTGCCCACAGCAAAACGACCATCATCATCATCATCATCATCATCATCGTCATCTGTTACAAAACCGCGTACCTATTGTGTACTCATTATAGCTGGGAGGCAGTGGTCGATAGCTACACACTGCAGTCACTAACTGGTGTAACCTATGTGTGCATTCATGAGTGCCAGTCGAGCTTTCGAAATCGGGAAGGAAAGCTACTAAATGAAAGCAACAGGTTGCACATATGCGCTTTATTGAGCGTGCGCCTGGACCGTATCGGTCAATGTCTGTAATCATCGATTTCGTCCCGTCCCTTGGTCCATATCCAGCGAGACAGTAATAATCAGCGGAGCTGAATTTGCGGGTATTGCCTTCCGTACTTCGCTGTCAAGTCATTAATTGACGTCCCCTGTCTCGTTCTTGCCCTCCACGTAGTTGTTCGAAAAGGGTTCTCCGAGGAAGTTGGTCGACTGTCATACCGAGCACGTGACTAAGGCAGAGCAACCTGTGGAATATCATTAGTTCGTCTATCATGGACGACATGTTTCTTCCAGAAAACCATTCGACGTGCATTACTGATCCGATTCTAAGATAAAGAAGACTTCGATGCGCTTCGTTCTTCAAGCTTTTTCTCTTCACTTTATATGGCGCCAATAAGTTCTCCTATGTGTCTAACCATAGATTCTGTCTTTTTGAATACAAACCTTCCGATCCTGTTCCCTTTTCACATTGTGTACATTATTTCTTGTTTTGACGGGCAAATAAGATTGACATTTCATTTACCTTCATGTACTGCTACCAATTGACTGGACCTTCTCGCAGTGTGGCGGGTTTTGTATCTCTGACCCACTGAGCTCTAATGGGGGTTCACGTTGACACCCGTAGAGTTTATGAGGACAGGTTGGTCAGTGGATGCGCCTGACGAACACACTTTCCAAATCTCGTAGGTTGGAAGTTGGTACAGGTACCTGACTTGTTCCTTAAAAAAACTTTTATTGTTGTAGTAGTGTGTTGTTACCCACCCGCTGACTCGCGGTAAGGCTTTTGAGCCAAAGGCTTTCGATGAGAACCCTAGTCGTCCTTCTGTCTAGGTGTGGGCGGACTGACAGTACCCCAACCCGGGTACAACCATGGATGTCACAACGAAAAATAGTATCGTACCACATCGGCCATGGCATCATGCCATCAGCCGGGTCGCCTTACTTGCTACAACGATCATGGCGTCATGCCATCAGCCGGGTCGCCTTACTTGCTTCATGCAGCTGGGAGGATAAGCGGAAAGATGCTACTGCTGACGCCTCCCTTCTTACACTTTCACCTACTCCCTCTTCTCCCGTACCCCACCTCAGCTTGAATGCTCCCTTGACCTGTGAAAATCAGACAATGTTTCGACCGAGTATAGGCTGCATCGACCACATCTTCACACTTCATCGGGTGTTAGAGTAATACCATGGGTTAACGAGATCCACGATCAGTGCTCTCCTTGAATTCAGGGTTGCGTTCGACTCTGTCGATCAATCAGTACTCCCAGAAGTTTGTGAATAGAGTCCGGGCTTATGTTAACATAATTCTGGGCGTGCGAGAGTGTATGGGTAGACTCTTTAGAAGCTTACGTGCGAAAACTGATTTCCGACCAGGACTCTCCAACCTTGTTCCGCTTTGTTATCGATGAAATAATGAGGTGAGCGCTGGATAGACTCAAAAACCCGGCTGCTCTAATCATCACCGATTAGAACCTTGTGGATCTGAAGTGCACAGCTGACATCGACGCAGTCTTTCAAGACGAAGGTGAAACGCAAGCCGTGTTGAATAAAAAGACCAGCATTATACCATCTTTTGGCGTGCGCCTTGAAAGTGTAATCGTGCTGCAGAACGTGCCGTCTCTGAACGTGCTCCTTACAGTTCAACGAGAAGCACTAGGAGCTGTGAAGTATTTCAAGTATCTCTGTAGTAGTATTGCCTCTGACGGAGGTGTGCCCAGTGAATTGGTGCACGATGCTTAAAGACCCGCCTAGATGTGATTGCAAGGAACTCAAAGGAGCTACTTGGGAATTCATACTGTCAACAAGACTAACGATTGAGCCCGGATGGACCTCAATAGTAGGTATCCTTCTCAGCTTCATAACTTCGGTCCTTTGAGGCATATACTGACACCACAAGCGGCCACCAGTTTTATGTTAAACAGCTTTATGCTCGATCTTGCTAAATACTTGAACCGCACAAAGTTGACTATTTAGTGGAATTCAATCCAGCGAAGGACGTTCAGCCAATAGCCTGAATGCCACCCCAACATCATATGTTTCACGAATCATCTTCTGGATCATCGAACGCATAAAGAGTAAAATGCGAATGGGTTGAGTTCAACCTAAGCAACATGACCACCCGTGAGTCTTGCATACACATTTCGGAAGCACAGCATACATCAACACATCTTTGTTCCCAGTACGAACAACCTAGTCTTTGTCCAACGTTTTTGGAAGTTCATCTGATCCAGGAACTGACTGTGCTTCGAAGCAGAAAAGCAAACTTTTACTTCGTAAACTGATTGGGGGCTTACAGACCACCACTCAAAATGAGTTTTTTGAGCGCAAGACCGGCACATCGGCAAAGGGCCAACTAAACTGTTGTGGATATTATATGTGCAGTATATTTTAATGAAAATAAGTAAAGGCCAGCGATATAGACGCATGAAGCATCAAACCAGCAGTAGAGTGCCGAGAACTTTCCAGCAATGTTGTGCATGGTGAGTTACGTCACGAAACGGATCTATCCATCCCTACTACTCAAATGTGTCCGCTTGACTAATAATGTCAGACAGGAACCGAATTCGGTTACACAATCTTTCCCGTTCTTCGACAGCATAATCAGAGTTCGCCATACTTATCCGCTGACCACGCGGCTTACTAGTTTGCTTGTTTGTTTTGGATGGTTTTCAATTATCTGACTTAATTTAGCAGATTGGTTTCTGTTCGTTTTGCTGACACTCTTTTACGTATACCTTACCTATCTCTCGGTTGAGACATGTTAATATCCACTGGTGTATTTCGTCTGTCTGCGCTAAAAAAAAGTAGATAAATTGGCGAGATCAAGCTCACAGTTGGGGCTAGTGGCGAGGTCTCTCAAACACCTGTAGTCCCAATCACTTTAATTTTCATAAACTTCTGGGCACTGACCACTCGCTTAGCCTTTGTTTTCCCCATTTTAAACGTGTCATTTTCAGTTATCCCACTTCGCATATTAGCTCTCTGTTACGTGACTCGCTGGATAATAAACAGACACATCTGGGTTAATGTATTTAGTGGGTGTCACTTGACTGTATTACCTCAGTACACTTTCTCAAGCACCCATCTGTTGGAGATTGTTTTGTTTGCTCTTCTTTTTCAGTTATACTACCATTCCTGGGTCCAGACCCTGACCGACGAAGGTATCTTTCCCACTCCTACGTCCAGGTAATCACGAACCTTCTGGATTGGTTTGAAGGTCAGGGTAGCTCTTATATATTATTCTGCTGCACGTCGCTTCTTTTGGGGCACGATGCTGTAAACCCCCCTCTCGACCCGACAGCCACCGCGAAATTGATAGATTTCTCCCACTGGATTGAAGTGAAGGAAGCATCGGCCCCAGATTCGCCAAGCGCCATCAGACATGACTTGTTCACCGGTTTCGCACACGGTCTCCGTAGTTTACGTGGTTTTCTGGTTGAGGCTGTTGTTGCTAAATCGATGGATTGATTAGATCAGATCATTCTACCGATTGTCTTTCATTCCGGCTACTCACTATCACCTATTTTCCTTTGCTTACTTCTGTCAAGTCGCCCGGTTCCCGTTTTAAAGAGCCTGGCTTTCGATCATCTCTCGTGTACACCAATTTGCCCAACTATGTTACAGTCAATATCGACAATTCTGCTCCTTTTTTCGCTGTTTTTTTTTCGTTTTGCGTTGTTTCGTACTGGTGTTGCTTTTCTGTTATAGAATTTTTTAACGGTTGCAAGTGAATAATGGTCTTGATTGGAACCATTAATTGAAACAGCTCATAGATCGTCCTTGCTATCTCCCACAAACTGACGCAATAATCTCAAAACGGGCCTTCGTTTAAGAGGATCCACGATGTACTCTACTAAAGATTGTTTCCGATGTCTTCCAAACGTGCAACGCATGTGCATTCACTGGTGCTTCAGTAACTTACGTACATTTCTCAACTGGAGGGGGTGTTCTGATACCACGTCACCCCCAAGAAGAGCCATGTCTCCATGGATGAAAACAGATGAATGTGCGGTGTGAACAGGGAGTCTTTTGTCAAAATTGCAATGGAAGAATATGAATTCAGTTATCTCTATCAATGTACTTTTTGCGGTAAAATATCATCCAGTAAAACCTAATCATTGATTGAATTTATCAAGATAACTCAAAGTCAATTTACGACATGACACAACTGGCTGATTGTTAGCTTCTGACTTGTACAGTGTATGGGATGTGATTAAGACCACTTCCTGATTTTCTTGACTGTCGCGCAACCGGTAAGATCCAAATCTTCACACATCGTTAAACCATTTAATTTGTGACCCGTTTTGGTATGGTATGCAGAGAAGACCTAGGGTGTTATTTTGCGTGCTGGAAGTCGACGAAATCCTGTTTAGCCCGATCCAACCGACAACTGTCACTGAGCTGTAAACACTGTTACAATTAGTCGCTCCAGTGTTAGCACGCAAATGTTCGTCTTCAATGGTGGATATATATTTATATACCTGTAGGGATGCTGGAAAGAATGCTTTGCAGCTTAGTTCGCGTGGTCAAAACCCCCGAGTACAGCACACACAAGAACAAGTTTTGGCGCAAACTCTATGGTGGGGGTGTATGTAGTCAAGAGAAGAACATGGTCCCCGGTTTGTATTTTGTGACCACGGATGTTGAGCAAATGCTCCTAAACTATATGCTTTTGAACCACGTGTGCTCCAGTGCACTGACATGCGGAGTTGGGTATGCACATAAGTTAAAGAACGTTGAACTGAAGAAAGGATGTTCGGTTTCGCTGGCCGAGCCCGCTACTGGCCATACGGTAGAGTATTATAATTAGCGGTAGCCGAATTCGGAACCGATAATATTCTATACCTGGAAATTCCATTTCTAGGGTTAAACCAAACAGGAAAGCCATTTGTAATCCTCACATTGAGAAGCCCACTGATCATCTATTATCGCACGAATTCGGAACCGATAATATTCTATACCTGGAAATTCCATTTCTAGGGTTAAACCAAACAGGAAAGCCATTTGTAATCCTCACATTGAGAAACCCACTGATCATCCATTATCGCATTTTCCAAGGAGCAAGTAAGGTCAACAAGTCAGGCTGTATTTTGCTGTTTAGTTGACGAGGTGGTTCTACACGCAATCCTTCACTTTCCAGTTAGGATGGTGTCTAAGGGAACACTCAGATGGATCTCTAGTCTACAATGCCATACAGTAAGTACTACATTATAAGTTGTCGTATAAAGAGCAACAGGAAGACTTGCGTTCCGAACTGTGCTACACGCACATGTGGATATCAACACATTCAAAACATGTGTACCTGCGTAAACGTGAAGCAGGTTTTTCCATACCATGGGCTTTCACGTGAGCGAAATTTCGCACAATTTGATGCAAAGGCGTGGTGAATAACGATGAGTGTCGCGTGCACTGTGTTGATACTAATTTTAAACTGCCCCCAGTGACGCTCCTATCATGTCTTCAGTGTGTGAGTTTTTGTTTTAAGAGCTTTGGCATACGAAGTCAGATTTTCGAGTAAAAATGGAAAAGTTCCAAGTTAAAAAGAAGACGTAACCGTAGCAGCCTTTATAATGTCGACTAACTGGTCAATTGCTGGTTCTGCTTTGGCATAGGAAATGCTGTACAGCTCAGATATAGATATTGGATTGTACGGGTCAGCTGACTCACAACCGGACTACGAAGGTCACTACTCTTAGAGTTTCTTGGGGGTGATCGATTACAAACTTCAGTTAGTATTTAGTTGTCGAACGTGATGAATGTAGCCAAGCCGCTTGTTTTACGCCGTTTTTCCTTATAAATATCTTGTTAACCTTGAGGTTGAGGATGGAAAACTATCAAATACGTGACACGGCGTGTGCGAACAAGATTTCCACAACACGAGATACTAATTGCACCTCACGTCCACGATGGCGTGCGATACATTTGTACAGCTGGAAACGCGAGACCTACCACGTTCCACACATGTGTAGTTGTGTCCAGTGACCTCGAAGATCTGGACGCAAATATATCTGTGCCGGATATCAGAGATCACTGCGCGCTTCGGAAAATAGCGTATTGCGCCTGCTTCATTGTGGAATGAGTGCTGCCAAGGAAGATGTGTAATAAGTGTATGTCCTTCTTGATCAAATTAGTTTACCCTCTGTACGATAAGAACACTCAGATAACTGGTCCACTCCGAGGTGGCAGTTTCCTTAATCCATCCTGCTAATCTAGACCATGGCTTCTCAGCCCGTGGATCTGAACCATATGAGAACTGCACTCCGCCAACTTTTTGTCAAGTCATCCCATGGGAAATATTCCTGAACCTTCGAACAGCATCAATGCAAGTATGAATATTCGGATAAAATATTCCGACTACACACCGATGGTCAGATCGTCTGAATAAGTCAACAGCTGTTTAAAATGCCGTTTGAGGCGCTTCGAACACTATAAATGCTCCATTTAATTTCATCAGTTGGCAATATTCATCCAGAAGGCTGTGACTACCAAATGAACTCAAATCTGACTTTATCAGTTAGCAACTCATTCAAGATGATTTTGTACATATTATCAAAGGGTAACGACAGGCGTTAGGTTTCAAATTTGATTGAAGGAACTGCATGGGCTAAGTTTTGAGGCGAGATGGTCCACGTGGTCGGAGCGCGATTTTACTGACCGGGAGGTTCGTGGTTCGAACCCGACCTCTGTCTCTCGACTTCCCCTGTCTAGGCTTGGGAAAACTGGCAGTATCGCGGCCCTCGTACAGCCTTCGGGTGGCATGGCAGTTAGGCACCGAAAGGGTGCTACAGCTGAACGATGGGCTTACTTTCAGTAGCATCTCATCCGGAATTAGCTGTGGCGTAAAGACTGAAATAGAGCTAAACGACTGAGGTTTGGAAGGCCGTCGACAAGTGAGCTGAATCTCAGCAAAGAGAATAAAATGAATCCGTGCTACACCCGACTACGGTGCTCTGCATTCGAATTTTGTGTTGATGAAGAACCAAAGGTGTGGAAGTGTATTTTTGAAGAAAGAGCAGATAACTACCTCTTTGAAATGGCTTTTGCGAAGGATTTCATGCAGGCAGACAAGGAGAGTCAGCACGTAAAAGCCAGTTCAGGCAAGCTGGAGAGTACAGTCTAACCAAGAAAACCAGACGCAGCAGAATCGTAAATGGAGGAATTAAAGAATTATCTAGACAGTGTATATCCATCGCAAGTCTGGATGGAAACAGAGCTTAGGGACAAACGACAGACTGAAGAGCGAAGGATAGGATTGTCAGGTGGTTACAATAGACTGGCGATTTTTCACTTCAGGGCGGAATTTCTGGAATCACATTCAGTTGGGTATATTCTCCAATGGATTGGAAAATGCATGTGCTATTAGGTAAATTGGTATATTTCAAACATTGCAAGTTTTAAGGCACTACCTCGGAAATATTCTGACTCGTGGCTTTGAAGCATTGAGGAAGACTTGGAACTGGCAAGCTTCTTCGCGGTGATCAGTGGAGGGAAAAACAGAGAAGCTTCAAGTAGGTTGGTACATCGAATTGAAAGCTGAAAATATAAACAGTAGTCTTCGTAGCTAAGCTTTTCAGTGTTGTAAGCGTTTGCGTGGGTGAGATGGATGTGCAACCAGGTATACAGCGTCTGCTATTCGGAATGAATGATTTCATTGACCCGTCTTGCGGGAGTACTGTGGCTTACACGCAGTCTGGTTTGCAGGGCGTAAGTTACTTAAGCGAACCTCTGTAATCTTTCTGAGACAAGCATAACTGAACCGTTTGAATTAAGAGTTTTCGCTGGGTTTGGAAAACTATGGAGTAAGTTAGAAAGTTCTGCACAGTAACACTCCTGTCAAATCACCAGAAAGCCGAAGGTTTGAAATGCGCCAGTTTCGCGGGGTGATGAAAGTGGAAACTAAACAGCATGCGAACCGGCTACAAATGAATGATCAGAAGGGACAATCGTTCTCTTGAGACTATGGAATTGAAAGTGACTTCGCGTCACTCCAGTGGTTGATGAGATATCGAACCACGAACATCAGTAATCGCCCTTAGTCGTGTGCTCCCCACTAGTTGTAAAATTAACACCACTATCAGTATTTTTATTATCCCCAATGAAAATATCACATCTGCGTAAATCAATACCCAAAATCGAATGGTGACTTTTAATCCTGACAATGGCCATGTTTGCTGACTCTAACTACTAGCATTGGACTTCCTCACCGAACCCACCTTACCATTCATAAATATTAAGTACTGCAACAGTGAATTTCCATTTTCAACATCTTGAGTTAGTGGCGACGGAGACTTTTAGCACTAAATGTAGTCGTAATCAGTTATTTATATCTGTCGCCAGGTGATTAAACTTCCTATAGGAGGCAGAAGTTCCCGGTGATGGCGCAGCTCTTCAGATTGTTGAAGCAGATGACAAAGCATCAAGATATACCTCGCACGCAGTTGGCTGAATTTCACCAAAATGTATTGCACCCTTTTCTAAAATGCTCAGACCGCAGTATATCCCTTTGATTGCATTCTGATGGGAGTTTGTTCGCCTATAAAAACTTCAAGACCCTCGCACTTTGCCGGATATATTAGGGTTGTAGCGTGGGATGTCAGGAAGTCAGCGGTATTCGACGTTCGACAGGATGTAGCGACGGCACACGTCAGTTCTGAAATATGCAGATATACGGGCTGGTATTAATGAATCCACACAGTATACACAGCACACATGCGCACAGGTCGGGTGGTACAGGGAAGAAGACCGGAGTGTAGCAACAACGCACGTGTATTAACCCGAACCGAAACCGGAAGGAAGGGGGTGTACAAGGTTGGGTCAAGGTCAGTTAGGGGGGTGTACAAGCGGGATACTCTTCCCTGTCCAGGGCCCGTGGTGCCTCGTCCGTGGTACCTGTAATAGGGGAAGAGAGGGAGGGAGAGGCATACATAATGTCATATGACAGGCATACAATCAGGTACAGTCGGGTTTCAAATGCGTTACAGGGTCCGTGTTTAAAATGACCGAGCGAGCATATATCTTCTCGGTTGATGCACGTTAAATGTCAGATTCGTTGTCCGCGCGGTGGCGCCTATTAAGGGACAGGCTTGTGAACTTCCCTATGCATCCAAAAACCGCAGCTGTGTTCCTCGATAAATCACGCCTTGCGACGCTTTTATTTTTTGGCTACAGAGAGTAGTAAGTTTGCACATATGCAAGGTCCTTGGCTCTCTTTTGAGATTTTGCAGGAAAACTCAAACTCTGGACAAATTATTCAACAACTGGAAAGTTTGCGGATCCTGAAGAATAGCGACCACACTACTGACGGTTACAGAATGCTGAGCTACTGGCACGAATTTAGAGTTTCACGCCCCCTTGAAATTTAAATGATACCTACTTATAGGCACTGAAAACGTCCGCGGAATCGATTTTTTACAATCCAGTGGTTTGTAAATTCAAACTTTCCAACTAAATCATGGAAATTGCACACAATTCGGTCTGGGTTTTCGAACCACAGAATGTAAAATGCTGTCGCAAGTTTAGATGGCGTAAAACCAAACCGCGCTGTTTCCATGCTTGCGGAATTTCATGATGGGAAATAGTTCCTACTAGTGGTCTCAGTAACCCAACGAAAGACAAAATAGATTGTCGGATCAAGTGACTGAACATACTCATTCAAGTGATGAGAAGATCGAAGGTGGCAAATAAAGGTCGTTTCATTCTATTGTTCCTCCTGGCTAAAACATCGTAATTTATATGGTACCAGTAATCAAGTGGGAAACAGGTTAAAATCGGGGACACATACACTTTAGCAAAATAGAAGTCAAGGGAAGTAGGGTAGTCTAGTGGATCACAGAATCAATTAAGTAACTTTAGTGTCACTTGAATCACCAGCACTACATTGGTTTTTCGTGACTCAGTGGAGTTCTTCAAAGCTCTAGATGAATTAGCTGGATGTCATACGGGTGATCAATAAGGAAATCATGTGAAGATTTTCAGCATAACGTTTCCTCCTCACTCATACATTCTACAGTCAAGCATTCATGAGTTTTAGAAAACAAATGCTCTTTGTTTAGGCGACTATTTTCTACACTGTCCGTGACCTGTTGCCATCAGTAGTGATCTTGAAATACTCCTTAATGGGTTGGAAATCCAGACGTTTGTTTGGTTTCATTCACGTGGAGAAATATCACTTGAAAAAAACTCATCATTTTTGTCAGGTGGTCGTTTTGTTGAGGACATCAAGGGGGTGGATTTTAACAGTTTCCCAGTGGGTTCATTTCATTTTGGGTGAATTTCTGGTGAACATCCCAGCTTTCAAGTAGAATTCACCCATGGAAATATATGCACAACCTTCGTGAGATAATGGCCAACCGTTAGAACGGATCGGAGGTGGTGGTTAGCAGATCTAACCAGACAATGCTCCGAAAAAGTGCAACCCCCAACAATGACTCAAAAATGCTCCATAACTCGCGTATATTTTGCGCAGATGTGTCCTGTAATTAATTACACTGACTTGTATATACATTCTGAAGATCTAGGTCTAAATGGCTTACTGAAATCACACAACGTTAGATGGATAGGATCAAATGAGGATCGAAGAATCTGAGGTCGAGAAATCGTAGGTTCAAAGTGACTGGGTCAAGGTCCGGTCCCTCAAGAAACGAATCTAGAGTCTCTCTCTGAATACGGTTGTGTTTACTTTCGTGTACTGTAAACTTTTGTTGCTCATGTGCTTCACTCAACCTTAAACTCAGTCTGGATTGTTGAGGCTGCGAATTCGTTCACTATGGTTTTCTAGCCTGGCTGCTCCCTAAAGATCTTGATTAGGTAACCCGACATGGCTTGGCGCATTTGCGAATTCTCAACGCTTGGTATATGCAAGGTCGACGTTTAGGCAGTCCACCCATGCTATCGTATATGTGAACAAGGCTCGTTATCCGACGACTTCTCAAATGGTGTTTTGTACCTTGCCAAAAGACTCCATAAATAGTGATCATATTTAGTGAGCTTTACGAATCAGAATAAAAGCTGTTAAGTCAAATTTTTGGGCAGCTTACTTTTTGGAGACTTTGAAGTTCTAATAACCTAATTCAGTGGCGTTCTCACAACTTATGACGCTGTCTATTCAAAACGCCGACGATTTTCAGGTCAACGTTTTTAAGCCAGTGGATCAGTAGGTCTGATCTTCGGTGAATATCATTATATGTCAGAAGGGGGTCTCAAGACTTTTCATAAAAGCCAAGTTCACGAACAGTGTGTTTGTCTGTTTGGCGTTCCGGATTAGGATTGGAGATATTCTTTGATCGCTTCGCCGTTCGAACGAGATCTATACAGCGTCACAGTTAATGCCGGTGGCTGTCCAAAGACCAACATGCAACGGAATTTCTAAAGCTTCTCGTGACCAAATGGGAGCACTTGATTCCACTTAGAAGATTTAGTGTAGACAGCAAATAAGCGCATTTTAGAAAGTGCTAAACTATCTAAATAGTGGAACAAATGGCAGGTCGGAATGCGTACTGGAAGGTGGTGACTATCTGACTCGTAGCTGATAAAGCCTGTATGATAATCCCTTAGTTTTACAGATAGAAGAGCGTGATATCCGACAGCATGTTGCAACGGAACCTATCAACCTCCTGGTGTGTCCATATTTCAGCTGACGTTTGCCGCAACTTTATTGGAAGTTATTTAAACAAACTCAAGCTTCACTATGGGCGGGGAATCTATACTCTGATGGCTGCCAATGGCTTTGCATGCTGTCCCATGAAAGCGGTGAGATCTTTTGTTGGAAACCTGATTTCTTCCATGCTTTTTCCTGTGTGGGGTTTAGAAATAATTTCAAGACTACATGTACATTATCTACTCCCTCCGTGTCCGCACAAACCCAAAGTGGAGCAGCCACTCTTGACATGTACAGGGAAAAAGTTTTTTTTAATGTGGCAGGCGTCCCGCCAAACAAAGCCAATGAATTCTTCACTGCGAGTAAGTTTTTTATGATGATCGGCACATGCTATGTCGGGTGCGTGGCAGGATTTTCTTTCAACCGCCATACTGATTCCTTTGGAACAATCACTGGACTTATGGGCAGAACAAGTAGACAGCACATTAAGGTGGCCTGTGCTTTGAAGTTCTGGTACAAATCCAAAGGATTGGGATGGTCTTGTGGGCGCATGCAACACACTCGGTCGGGAAATATTAGGGATAAGTTAAGGCACGGGCAAGCCGTCTGGCTGGGTAGAGCAGTCGTGTTACAGTCATCGCGACGTCGTACTTGGGTCTGGGAAGCCCCGTCAATAGACATCTTGTGTGAGTTAGTTTGGTCGTTATGGTAGTCGTGGTGGGCGAAGGGATCGTGACAAATTAAGACCAACGTGGGTCAAGGATATTCTTGGGTCCATTGGTGGCACACGGCGGATCTATTTGTGCCATTCAAACGGGGGCCCAAAGTAGGAAAAAAAGCTTCAAAATATCTGTCAAATGGCATTGTGTTGTGAGTTAGACTGTGGTCTGAAATAGCAAGCAGCTAAGACTTTTCACAGTTTCTAACTGCTGCAGGGGGTGGCACTGCCCGATTTCAAAACGGTAATTGATAGTAGGCTGAAGATAATAGATATGCGTCGTTGTGAACGGGTATGGGCGGATGTGAATTTGAGGGACATATATTAGCTAACTTGTTAGCTAGCAAGGTGGCTGGAAGCATGCGGCGACAACAGATCATTCAATACTGTGAGATGTCTTGTGGTGTTGCATGTATGAACGATAAAGTGACCTCAGAATGGCGCATTTATAGCCTAAAGAAGACCGTGAGGTTGCCACAAAACGAATTGATTTGGAGGCGTAATACTGCTTGTATATGGTGATTCTGTGTTAGCATTTTCTCCGCTATAAATATTGTTTTGGATTCATTTGAGGATTGCTCGGGTACGTACTACAACCAGGGTAAGCTGCAGCCAGCGTCCTATAAAAGTTGCTACCATTTAAAATTTCTCTCTCCCACATTGCAAACGATGAAGTGCGGTAATCAGCACAAATTCGGCCAAAAGTATTCAGTACGAAACTATTAGTCAACAAAATAATCGTAAGTACTTCTCGACAGACTGCTTGTTCCCAGATGGTCCACCCTGGAACCTGGATGCTGGCTCTCTTCGCAAAGCTTTTTTCAAAAGCGACGACGCGCCCCTAATGGACTAAGACACGCAGACAATTGATTCCAAAAACCACTTCAAACTTTTGAGCCAAATACAG